TGCTGCTGATCATCCGCCGCAATAACCGCGATGGTAGGCTGCCGCCGCCGCCGCCGCTATTGCCGCCACCGCCACCGCCGCCCTCGCTGCTGCCGCTAGGCACGCGGCCACAACCTGGAGCGCTACTGCCGTCCTCTGCCGCCGCCGCCGCCGCCGCCGCCGTCACCACCGGCGCTTTAGCCATCGACAGGGCCGCTATGGGGGGGCTGCCAGGCATTAGTAGGCTGCTAAGGCGCCTGAAGGATTTGCCTACACCTCCGCCACTGTCACAGCTAGAGCGGCGGCCGTCGCCGCCGCCGCCGCCGCCGCTGCCGGACGGTGCCCGGCACCCAGCGCCGCCGCCGTTGGGCATCATCGCCGCCGCCAGCTGCACAGTTGCCACAGAAGCAGCGCAACTGCCGCCGTTTGACGTACACCGTGTCGTACCGCTGATGACATCGGCGTTACCTGGTGACGACGCCACCGCTACGGTGGCCGTAGCAGTAGCAGCAGCAGTAGCCCCCGTCGGGGGCTGTTGCGTGTGATAAGGGTCCTCCGACCTTGTGGTACCCCCGTGAGATTGGCTGGCGGCAATCAGTTTGGCAAGTATGGGTGATTCCTGGGATTGGGACGAAGCCGCGCCTGCCGTACCGTAGCTCGTACAAGATCTGCGCAAGGTTGAGGGCGGAAGGGATGGGCATCCTACCTGAACTTCCTCCGGTGTTTCAGTTCAGTGGCTTTTTCTATCATTTATGTGGGAAGCGAATTTACGAAGTATATCAATATTAAGATATGCGCGTGCAAGCGCGTGCTTTACGCCCCTACCTGGTCCACTACCCAATGGAATTGAAAACTCTAAAACGACATCATATACAGACATCATACGGACGATTGATAACACATGGCAAAAAAATCCCAGTCCCGGATTCGAACCTGCGCGCCCTGACAGCCATAGCTAGCGCAGCAAAGGCGGCCCGAGTGCTCTCGGACTGAAGCTTAAGCTCCTTCGCCGCCGCGACCGCCGCCACCCAGTGCTTGCGAACGCGCGTCAACCCAGCGCCGCCGCCGCCGCTGCCGCCGCCGCCGCCGCTGCCATTGTCGTCGCCGCCAGCGTCAAAGGAGCCGCTTCTGCGGCTGAAACCGCCGCCGCCACCGTTGCCGCTTGCAGCGGCGGTGACTGAGCCGCCTGGGTGATGGCTGGCGCCCTTGCTACTGCCGCCGCCACCCCTACCGGCGGCGGCAGTAGCGGCTGCAGCGGGTGCCGCGCCGTGAGAGGGCGGCGTTGAGGAGGTCGCTGAGCTGCTGGCTCGGCGGTCCGACGCCGCGTTAATGCCCTCGGCCGGCAACTGTGGCGGCGCAGAGGACACGTGGTACGGCACAGGATTGGAATAAAACAAAACAACAAAGATACAACATATACCCCGCCGGCGGACGGTCCCCTGTCCGCAACGCCGTACATCCTGACCGTTCCAGCGGACGCCTAGCGGACGGTCATGGAAACGATGGTCCAAAGCTCCAAAACATCTGTATGTAGATGATTCATGAGACGCTAATAATTAATGCTCCAGCTTGCACTCCTTGGCAAGCAATTAACGCGCAAAACACTCGCCAGGAGAAACTAACCCCAAAATTGTAACGCACATAGTCAAAAGGCTTCTAGCATAAGGAGAAAGCAATCGAAAGAAAAAAGACAACATCCCAAGGCGCGCGGCGGACATTCTAATGACCTGTTTATGTAACCTGCTTAAATAACACCAACGCACTGGAACAATTGAATCATGCAATAAGGTCATTGCAATGGCCACAAGCACTGGGCATTAGTGAAAGGGATTCAGCAAAAACTGACCGTCACGCCCAACACGTCGTTCCATCCCTTTGTCGGCTCTGAATGGCACAATGAATGCTCTACTGGGTAAATGATCATTTGGCGGTGGAAAGAGGCCATTGTATGGCATCCGAGCTGGCGCACAGCTTGCGCATGTCCCCAAGACCCAACACGGCACCACGCCCCGCACCCGGTTATGCCCTTGTCCTGCATTCCGCCTGCCAGCCTCTCTGTGCAACACAGCGCATGGCGGACAGGCCAACCAAGCCATACCAAGGTTTCAGTGAAGACTGGGGTCCCAAGCTCTCAGAATCCCAGGCTGCCAGGCTCCCAGGCACATAGGCTGCCAGGCACAAAGTCTCTTAGAATCCCAGGTTCCCAGGCTCCCAGGCACACAGGCTCCCAGGCACACAGGCTCTTAGAATCCCAGGCTGCCAGGTTGCCAGGTTCCCAGGCTCCCAGGCACACAGCCTCCCAGGCTCTTAGCATCCCAGGCTGCCAGGTTCCCAGGCTGCCAGGTTCCCAGGCTGCCAGGTTCCCAGGCTGCCAGGTTCCCAGGCTGCCAGGTTCCCAGGCTCCCAGGCACACAGGCTCACAGGCTCTGAGGATCCCAGGCTGCTAAGGTTCCCAGGCTGCCAGGTTCCCAGGCTGCCAGGCACACAGGCACAAAGGCTCTTAGCATCCCAGGCTGCCAGGTTCCCAGGCTGCCAGGTTCCCAGGCTCCCAGGCACACAGGCACACAGGCTCTGAGGATCCCAGGCTGCAAGGTTCCCAGGCTGCCAGGTTCCCAGGCTGCCAGGCACACAGGCACAAAGGCTCTTAGCATCCCAGGCTGCCAGGTTCCCAGGCTGCCAGGTTCCCAGGCTCTAGCCCAGGCACACAGGCACACAGGCTCTGAGGATCCCAGGCTGCAAGGTTCCCAGGCTGCCAGGTTCCCAGGCTGCCAGGCAGACAGGCACAAAGGCTCTTAGCATCCCAGGCTGCCAGGTTCCCAGGCTCCCAGGTTCCCAGGCTCTCAGAATCCCAGGCTTCCAGGCACACAAGCTCTCAGAATCCCAGGCTCCCAGGCACACATGCTCTCAGAAACCCAGGCTGCCAGGTCCCCAGGCTTTTAGAATCCCAGGCTCTCAGAATTTCAGACTCCCAAGCACACATGCCCTCAGAATCACAGGCTGCCAGGTTCCCAGGCTCTCAGAATCCCAGGCTCCCAGGCTCCCAGGTTCCCAGGCTCTTAGAATCCCAGGCTTCCAGGCACACAAGCTCTCAGAATCCCAGGCTGCCAGGCACACAGGCTCCCAGGCACACAGGCTCTTAGAATCCCAGGCTTCCAGGCACACATGCTCTTAGAATCCCAGGCTCCCAGGCTCCCAGGCTCTCAGAATCCCAGGCTCCCAAGCACACATGCTCTTAGAATCCCAGGCTCCCAGGTACACATGCTTTTAGAATCCCAGGTTTACAGGCACACAGGCTCCCAGGCACACAGGCTCTCAGAATCCCAGGCTCCCAGGCACACATGCTCTCAGAATCCCAGGCTGCCAGGTTCCCAGACTCTTAGGTTCCAAGGCTCCCAGGCTCCCAGGTTCCCAGGCTCTCAGAATCCCAGGCTCCCAGGCACACAAGCTCTTAGAAAGCCAGGCTGCCAGGTCCCCAGGCTCCCAGGTTCCCAGGCTCTCAGAATCCCAGGCTCCCAGGCACACATGCTCTCAGAATCCCAGGCTGCCAGGTTCCCAGACTCTTAGGTTCCCAGGCTCCCAGGTTCCCAGGCCCTCAGAATCCCAGACTCCCAGGCACACAGGCTCTTAGAATCCCAGGCTTCCAGGCACACAGGCTCTTAGAATCCCAGGCTTCCAGGAACACATGCTCTTAGAATCCCAGCCTCCCAGGCACACAGGCTCCCAGATCCCCAGGTTCCCAGGTTCCCAGGCTCTCAGAATCCTAGGCTCCCAGGCACACAGGCTCTCAGAATCCCAGGCTGCCAAGCTCCCAGGTTCCCAAGCTCCCACGCTCCCAGGTTCCCAGGCTCTAAGGTTCCCAGGCTCTAAGGTTCCCAGGCTCTTAGAATCTCAGGCTCACAGGCACACAAGCTCTTAGAAAGCCAGGCTGCCAGGTCCCCAGGCCGCCAGGTCCCCAGGCTGCCAGGTCCCCAGGCTGCCAGGTCCCCAGGCTGCCAGGTCCCCAGGCTGCCAGGTCCCCAGGCTGCCAGGTCCCCAGGCTGCCAGGTCCCAAAGCTCCCAGGTTCCCAAGCTCCCACGCTCCCAGATTCTCAGAATCCCAGGCTCCCAGGTTCCCTAGCTCCCACGCTCCCAGGCTCCCAGATTCCCAGGCTCCCAGATTCCCAGGCTCTCAGAATCCCAGGCTCCCAAGTAAACATGCTATCAGAAACCCATGCTTACAGAATCCCAGGCGCCCACGCTCCCACGTTCCCAGGCACACAGGCTTTTAGAATCCTAGGCTTCCAGGCTCACAGGCTCTCAGACACACAGGGTCCCATGCACACAGGTCGCCCATGGCTGCGGTCCAAGCCTGGCCCCAAACCGCCAGATAAATATGCTCCTACATCTAATTGGCTTAGCCGAATGCTAGTTTTAGCTTTGTTTACATTTCCGTATTTGCTGGCGCCTAGCGCTTGCATCGATGTAGCCCCCAGTATAGCACATTGCATTACATTATCCATGAAAAGATTATAAAACTTTAATTCACTATAAGCTCAGCAAATTGCAAGGGTAAAGGGCTCATCTGGACGCAGTTTGCATGCCGTGCTGCCGGCTTGCGCAAGGAATCTCTGCGCGCGCTCCATGCCCGCGCGCGCCGCGAGCACCAGGATAAACTACAACAAAATGTCTTTTGCTTCGTGCAAAAATACGTTGGTATGTGTTGGTATGTGTGCCCGGAAAGCTGTGCCGGACGGTCGACCGTCCGGCAGACCGTCCGCCATGGACGGTTCCACCGTCCGCCAGGGGGGGTATATGAACCACACATAATATAAAATCATCATCATACATTTTATTACTGAAATTATGTCAATAATGGTCATGGTCGATAATGCCCTTCGCCACATGTACATCAAAGATCAAAATATTAGAAGCCATAAAAAAATGTTTGTGAACCTTTATTTCACATATATCTTCCCGCACTTTCCGGCAAGAGCTTTAGCAAATAATAATCTGATAAAAAGTAAATAAAAAAGTAAGCTGAAGATTTCCAGCACTAAGACTTTTGAGGAATATACGTTCGGTTTTATGGCGCAGTGGCAAGCAGGCGTCTACCTGAGACTTGTTCTTCACGTAGCCGTTACTGCCGGGCGATGTCACAAATCGACTTGGACCATTGAGATCGCGGACGGGGGCCATGGCGGGGCCGCTGGGCTGTACTCCTGCTCCAAGCAACGTCGGCCCGCTACCGATGCCGATGCCGCCGCCTGGCGCCGCCGTCACCCCGCTGCTGGCGCCGCCGCCGCCGCCGCCGCCGCCGGACCCTAGAAATGCCGACAGGAGCTGCAATCCTGAGCCGCTGCCGCTGCCGCTGGCAACACCGGCAGCGATGACGGCAGCTGCGCCGACGCCGCTGCCACTGCCGCTGCCACCGACGCCGCCGCTTCCGCCGCCGCCGCTACCGCCACTGCCGCCAACGTCATCGGCACCGACGGCGCGACGAGCGTTAAAGAAGCTGCCGCCCGTCGGCGTGGCAAGTCCGCTCTCTGACGGCCTCTCGCCCTGCATG